ATAACATGAAACCGCGATCTCGAGTCGTGATCGAGGAGGGCGCGCGCGCTCCCCTGCGATCCACGATCTCTACTTTTCCTATTTTTTTTATATCTATGTACGTATATACTTATATACATATATACATACATACTTTTAGCTTTATTTCTGTCGAGGCTGACACGTTGCCAGAGTAAGAGTTTCTCTTAATTAAACGACTTGGTGTTCCGTTGGACTCGACTCCGTCCCGATATTTCAACCCCGAAATTATTACTCGCGCGGGAAGGATTTTTCTCTCGGCGAGTGGCATTCTCGCCGCGGGTAAATTACATTCTCTATCGATATCCAACGAATTCGTGGTATCCTTTCAACGATGAAAGGTTTCTTTAGTTCGCCCTGGCGACTCGATTCCAAACGGAACGGCTTGTCGCGTACGCATCGTCGATAAATGGGACGACGATCGCGTCGTTCGCAGCGTGCGACAGATCTAGCACTGATCCTTAGATGGTCCTCGCGAGATAATGGCCTAATTATCCAACCAATCGACCACCCCCCTTACACTCTGCCAAAGAAAGATTTCTTTTAGGGTTCTCGATGATACCAGCAGAGCCAAGGTGGGTGTACAGACTTTATTTACCTACAACTAATTGCTCGTCGTTCAACCAGCTCGCGGGAGACTACTGTCTCTGCTCTACTTGTATCTTCTTCTTCTCCTGTTTCACGTTCTCACTCTCTTTCTCTCTTACTCTTTCTTTCTTTCTCTTTCTCTCTCTTTCACTCACTGTCTCTCTCTCTCTCTCTTTCTCCCTCTTTCTCTCTCTTTCTCACTCTCTCTCTTTCTTCTATTTCGTTCGTTTACCCGGCGCAGTTCGCGAGGTAGAGCTCGCACCAACGCCCAGATCCTACGTTTTTTCAGACACACGCACATACACGTACTTACACGCGCACAGACACACTTAATTACCTTGTTCTACATCCACCGTCGTCGCGGCGGGAAACGAGCGGTCGGTTCACCGCGGGAAACAGGGAATTTCGAAAGGAATGCAGGTGAGCGGTGGAATCGTCGGTGAGCATTAATTCAAACACCTTTGAATATCGATTGGTTTTTGTGTTACATGAACAATAAGCAAGTAGTTCGTAAAACGTTGGATAAAAATGTTCAGTCGCTAAGGTTTCATTTGTCTTGCAATAACGGGACCAGTACACCTAACTTCGTATCATTTAACTTTCGCCTTCAGTTTCGGTATCCGCTAAAATCGCATTCTAATTAAGAAACTGCTGAAACTTTTCTCAACAGACGGGTATGAAGAGAGTTAACTGTAGTTCTCGCCAACGAGTTTCACCTTAACAGCGAATACTTTTAAAAGTAAGAACGCTTGAGACCTTCGAAGAATCCATTGACAAATGGAACCACTCGAAGTAATTTGTTCTAAAATTTCGGGATTAAAGATGATTCCTCTACCACCGCGAGCTGCGATTCGTAATTCCTTGTTTTCCCGGCAGCCGAGTGAAGTTCTCCGAGTTTCCCTGTCGCGGAATCGTTTGAAACGATCGCGGAAAGTGTCTGTCTATCGGTCAGTGGTAGGTCGGCACGAGACAGAGGCGAACCTCTAGTTCTTAGGCCAACGAATCGAAGATTCGCGATCGCGGCTCACGGTTGCGCCGTGAAAGAAACGGCAGCGTGGATCCATTAAAGCCTCGAACGGCCACCGGGGAAAAAAGTTCCGCTTTCTTTACGGTCCCGATGACGATAAATCTTCCGTGGGATCTCCATCGGGCGGCAAAAAATTCCCTCGTTCCTCCAGGAACCACTGGCTGACGTTTCCACGCGTGCAATCGCGAACGCCTTAGTCTTAAAAGTAAGTTTAACGGAGCTACAGGGTATTCAAAAGTATTCCAGCGATAGTATTCGTAGAATCTAGACCTTCGTCGACGACGAACTCCATCGAAGCGCTACTGTCACTTCCTGTCTTCAGTGTCAGGGTATTTATCTTATCCTTCGTTTCTCTTTTCTCTATTTTTTCCATGTATTTTCTAGGATATTTCGTGGCCGATAGTCGCCGCGAAGTGACACAGGGTATTAATTTCTAGTGATCCGTAAATGTGAGTTACCTAGACGTGTACTTAGATCAGTATTAGACTGCCAGTGTGTAAGGATTCATGGACTCGATCGAACATACGCGTACATTCCGATTTTCAACCGGAAGCGAGGCTGCGTGCCGAGGATCTCTTCGTTGATCTCAGTTTCTTCTTCTACCCTTCTGATACCCTGAATTCGCATGAACTTTCGCCAATCGAGTAACTTCTCGGAAAACCGATGAATCAAGGAACAAGAATGTTTCAATTAGAAATACGAGTAACAGACATGTACGAACTCTGAAATCATCGCTCCGATTCGATCGATGGATCCTCGATGCGACGCCTCGGATGTCCGGAGGTCAGTCCCGTGGAAAAAAGGGACACCGGTGAAAAGTGACTGTGAGAGCCGAGGAACCGAAGAACCACCGCGATTGAAAAGTGGGAAGACCGAGGATCGACGAAAGTCTTCGCGCGGAGAAGCGAATTGGAAAACGAAGAGGAAAGAGAGGAATGAAATGTGGAAAAAGAGGTGAAGATCGAGGTCGATCAAGGAAACGGCGTCCGGAAGAACAATCGATGTCGATCGCGGCGATGACGACGACTGTCGACGAGAATGATCCAGGTTCGCGTGGCCGCGACACGGTTTTCTTGTTTATCGCGGAGGAAGACGCCCCGGTGATACAGAATTTGTGTGTCAGCCAATAAAGAGGAACTTTTTCTACTTGACCGAAACTAGAGGGAATTATCTTGTACATTCTCCGCCTCCGCGTGTTCTCGGTTTACGTGGCATGCATCCGATTTCGTTCGTTCGATCCCCTCCACATTTTGATTATACACTGTCCAACGGATCTTCTATAATCTCGTGCTACTTATCGTTCTACGGGCGATCTCTGTGGATTTCGTACATTTTATAGATTCATGGAACGCTTCGTCGGTCTTAATCTTCAGGAATTTAATTTTGTATCGGTACTCCGTCGTACGAGAAAGGTGCAATTCCTAACAGTTATCTAAATTTAACCTAGGTATCTATCATTCTCTGCAAGGAATTTCCGTACAGCTTCTCCGATTAATTTTATTCCTCGAAATTAAGTTTCTCAAGGATCCAGATCGACTATCGACTTCGTGTTCGAAGGAACTCCACAAGAATCGCCCGACGAACGTCGCAGATCGTTTCAAAATCTCGAACAGCGTCGTCGTTCTACTTTTCCTCTGTCTCTGGTTTCTCGTCGATGATTTCTCTCGCGTTTTTCTTTTCGGTCGTTCGAGACGCTACTCTCCACTTTTCCCTTTCCGCGCGTTCGCGTCGGAAACACTTATCTACGTTACGTTTCCCAGGCCGAAGTTCGAACGTTCACCGACGAGAACGTCGAAGGGACCACCGAAGTTTTTTCGTTTCGCTTCGAACGGAGAAACTCTTCGAATCGATCGAGGCTCGATCGAACCCGGCTCGTCGCCACGCAGAAATCCGTCGAGGATACGCGCGTGCCGCGGGGACCGAGATTCCACGTTGGTCTGGCCCCGGCCGCGGCGAACAAAGAACGAAACGCGGGTCAACACGTCACGCGATCGTTTCGAGAGCATCTCGTGTAACCCAGACCCGTTCTCTTGGTTTTTTTTCTGTTTTTTTTTCTTCGTTGTTTTTTTTCCCCTTAATTTAAATTATTCTCTCTATCTCTCTCGAACAGAGGACTGCATGCTGTAGGCTTTTTTCTGGTCTTGATTAGTGGCGTTTAGCTTTCAGTGAATAACAGTGACGATCACGAAGCCCGGAATCGATTTGTAACCCGGTAGATGTGGGTGTCCGGAGTCGAGCAATGGGGAAATCGAAGTTGACTGCAAATAATGAAGTGGATATTATAGAAACGGATGAATAAACATTGGCAATTTAGAATTTCACTTTCGATATTTCAGAATTAAAAGAACGTAGAGCTTTGGTTTTTTAAGGTTATCAGATTCTTCATTAAGTCTTCGTGAAGTTTATGGGAAGACGCCATTGCTCGCCGACGGAAGTCCCCGTAAAAGCTTGATTGACACGCTCGATAACGTATCTAGAAGACTTGTCACCGTTTGCATGCCACGTGTACTACCTTCTTCACAAGTAATGTATTTTTAAAGGCCGTTCTGCAAAACAAGATATATTATACCGTGTTTCTCTATTATATACCGTGCTCTATCACGTTCTCTCTGTGTCGTTTTCCTGCTCTCTCTGTCGGCTCTTGTCATTCGCTGCTGCTAAACCGCGATATCGTTTACGACCTCACCCAACGATCACCCACGATCGGTTGCCAGTCGATGATAGATCGCTAGCGGAACTGCTGTCCGAAGACGTAGAGGAAACCTGTTGGCGGTGTCTTGTCGGTGGATTATTTCGTGCTGTGTAATAATTCAGTGTATAAGCATGAGGTATCGAGAATCACTGTCATTACTATATCGTATTTCCTGTGGAACCGTTGCAATCGTAAATGTTAC